TTTTGCGTGTAAAAGTATTTCTGATATGTTACATTTACTTTTTCTTGAGTATGATAAATATATGATATTATACATGTGCCTGAATGTTTTTTTTTTTGCAAAATTTATGTATTTTTTTCATTTTGTATTTTCATATTTTATTAATTTTTATTATTTATTTATGACATTAAATGTTAACACATTTAACCCAAAAATTGAACTATTTATTATTAATTTTTACTCAGTTCTAAAATTATATTTTCATTTTCATTATCATAAAAATAATTATTGTTTATTACACTTATTTTTTTTTTTAATTTGATTATAAAGGGAGAAATTTGTTAGAAAAAGGAATTATATTGCAAAGAAGAAGATAGGAAGAAATATGAAGGAAAAACTAACGAAAACAAGAAGACATTAAAGTTGCAACAATGTCTATTTTTATATTGGGTTCTTGAATTAACATTCTTAGTTTCTTATACATGATGGTTCATCCAAAATTTCAAGATTAGATCTTGTTATTGGAGCTTCAGGTGTCAATTAATCGGGCATTGATGTCCCTGTAACTAGAGTTCTTCTAGGGGTTTCTTTGCTTGTGTGGATTTATCAGATTTCTCCAAAATGGCGTTGTTTCATAAATTCTTGGGAGAATGACTGATTAGCCCAGCTCAGAATTCTTTAGCCCCACCGTATAGGGGGATGAATCCTAACCATGGATTGATGCTAAATCCACGGGCAGGATGTGGTTTATAGGGGGGGTTGTAATTCAGAATTCTGCAGTGAGCTGCATAGTACATTTCCCTAAATTCTTATATCAAAAACCACCTTAATAGATTTCTTCACTGTAGGAAAACCTAAATTCAATAGAACAAGTAGGTGTTTGGCATCAATGTCATTTCTTCAAAAAATGGTGCCACATCAGTATCACATGAAATCCTTTTATTTTGAAAAATACCTGATGTTTGGTTAGCCGTTTTTTGAAAAACAATCTCAAACCACACCTTGAAAATTGGGAAAGGTGTGATATGAGAAAATGCCTTTTTACCATTTTCCCATTTTTTCTACTATTGCTACTACAGTGTACTGATATGGCATTGAAAAATGCTTATATGACAGCAATAGCATTGAAAAACGCCTATATGCCTCGACATTGGTTCCAAACACTACCAAGTCATCAAAGATCTTTTTGTGTGACAATAAGAATGGAAATTGTGAACTGAGCTCTATTGAAGCCAAAGCCAAACCAATCATTGGCCTCTTCTGTTTACGTTATCTTTAACAACTTGGTCTGCCCCATTTCCTGTTCACCTCCATATCAAAACTCAACTAACCATTAGGGTTGTCAATTGGACAGGATTTGGTCTAATCCAATATTAGTCCATTTACAAATGGACTGGACCAAATCCATACAAAACAAGTCCAATCTAGTTCAAATAAAATGTAAATGAAAATTGAATCAAACATCAAAATAACATTAGAAATCCAAAAAATATATAAAAAACTACAACACCTATTGCAATCCAATCTAATCCAATTAAAATGCAAACGGATCGGATTGGGTCCAATCCAATCCAAAGTGAATGAATAAAAGTATTTTTGCAAAAGTGCTTTTATAAGAGTACTTCTGTAAAAGTGCTTGTATAAATGTGTTTTTATAAAAGTGTTTTTGTAAAAGTACTCTTACAAAAGTACTTTTATAAAAGTGCTTCCGTGTAAAAGTATTTTTATAAAAGTGTTTTCATAAAAGTATTTTTGTAAAAGTTCTTTCATAAAAGTACTCATAAAAGTACTTTTCTAAAGTGTTTTCATTTAAAAGTACTTTATAAAAATTATTTTCCTAAAATTACTTTTATAAAAGTGCATTCATATAAAAGTACTTTTATAAAAATGATTTCGTAAGTATTTTATGTCAACTTCAGTTTTGATCGGTTTCATATTGGACAAGGGTTTGGCCTCATGATTGGATTATTGGGAATTTGGTTTAAGTCCAATTTAGACCGAATGATCGATAAGAATATGGACCAATTTATTTTAGATAGCTCAATCCAATAATTACAACAAACCATCCAAAAAGCTGTCCATTGACACCCAGAGAAAGGAAGGAGAGTGAGAATGGGGAGAAAGGAAAGGGTGGTCGGTGTTCCAATGGTGATTGATTTTGTTGCAGCGGCAGTGGAAGGGAGGTAAAAGAGAGTGGACCTAAGATTAAGATTAAATAAAAATGAAAATCGGTTTTAGAGTCTAGACTGCAATTAAGTTTGTACCCCCATTAATTTTGAAATTGGATGGTTGAACTGGCATGGTGCGTTGCTGTTGGAGGGTCGAGATATGTGCTAGGGTCCAACAGATGCGCTCTCGTTTATTTCCTAGAGCAACCGGCTGTTAGCTATTTGGGTCCGACTATCATATGGAAAACCATATCGTATGGAAAATTCCTTCTAATGCCACGTTTGTAGTACCGAATTTATTATATTAATTGATAATTAATTATTTTATATTATAATTAAAATTTAAAATATTAAAAAAAATATGAATTTTTTTCTGATTCCCCCCGTCAGCGAAACAGTTATACCCTCAGCGCAATTCGAAATAGGAGAATCCGTCCACCAAAGCTTTTTCTCTTTCAGTCATGGCGATCAAAGCCAAGCTTCCTTTGTGTTTCTTCCTCCTCTCTCTCTCTCTTCCTTTTGTTGGCAGCTTTGTCACTGGCTTACCCACTGAAACCACAAAGAGATAACAAGCAAAGAGAAGGCAGCCAAGAGGAGGAGCAGCAGCAGGAGCGACATAAGAGTAACCCCTACTTCTCCGATGAGCAGAGATTCAGCTCCCGATTCAAGCTTCTGAGTGGTCTAGATAACTACCGCTTGGCTAGCTTGGAAGCCGAACCTAGCACTTTCCTGATCCCCCACCACTAGGATGCAGATGTTGCTGTCATCGTTGTTAAGGGGAAGGCAACAATCAACATGGTGCACAATGATAACAGGGAATCCTACAATCTTGAGTGTGGAGATGTAGCTAGGATTCCTACTGGAATGATGATCTACTTGGTAAACAGAGACGACAATGAAAACCTCCAGAGAGTCACACTCTTCATGACCATCTCAACTCCCGGCCACGTCTCGAAATTCTTCAGCGCCAGTAACGAAGATGGGGAATCATTCTACACTGCATTTAGCAATGAAATCCTGGAAGCCGCTCTAAATACTCCAAAAGACAAACTAAAGAGGATGTTGGGAGAGAAAAGGAAGGGAGTGATGAGGGAGGCGTCAAAGGAACAGATTAAGGCCATGAGCGAGCAAGCTTCTTCATCATCAGAGGGCGAGCGTCGGTGGAGCATACACAAAAGTGAGACGAGGGGCCCGTTCAACCTGTCGAAGAAACGCCCCATCTATTCTAACAGCTATGGACAACTCTACGAAGCCCAACCTAACAACTACCAGTAGCTCAAAGACCTTGACGTCTCCGTCATATTTAGCAATATCAGCCAGGGAGCCGGAGCAATGCTATCTGCCTTGTACAACACGAGGTCAAATAGGATAGTTTTTGTCGTGAAAGGGAGTGGATGGTGGGAGATGGCGTGCCCACACATCTCTAGTCAGAACCAGAGAGGAAGAATAGGAGAAGGTGATGGGGTATAGTATGAGAAGGCCAGTTCCCGTGTGTCTTCAAATACAGGTTTCATAATTCCACTAGGGCATGTGTTCACCGTCGTTGCTTCCGAGAAAGAGAATCTACAGATAATTGTATTTGGGATAAACGCCTAGGATAAGAAGAGGAACTTCATTGCTGGGAAAGAACACTACATGAGGAAACAGATGGACAAGGAGGCGAAGGAGCTGTCTTTTGACATGGGAGTAGTCGTTCTTTGTTCCTTGTCCCCTGAAGCAGAAGCAGCGCCACAAACACGATAATAGCGGACGACTGTTCTCCATCTTGGATTCTGCCAGTTTTTAGATAAATTGTAATTTGTAGGATGTAGGAGATAGACCTACTAGTACTGCTGCTGCTACTTAGTACGTACTAGAGTCTGGCTAGAGTGAGTAAACATCAACTGTGATCCTTTTTGTAGAAAGAAAACAAATGAGCGAGAGCTTCTGCTTTCTAGTTTTGCTCACCACCTATGAAATAATAATGAAATGAAGGCTCTTTTTGGTAGTTCAAAAAAAATCAAAATAGCAGAACTCTATTCGAAAATCAATGACTTCTCAGTTCTTCCGTTTGAAAACAACGGCTGTCTTCTACCCCGTGCTTCTCCATTCGCCATCCCGTAGATTATTCCCCACTATCTTCTTCCCCATGCTCAAAAAAAGAACTCTGTTCGAAAATCGATGACTTCTCAGTTCTTCTATTCGAAAACAACGACCATCTTCTTCCCCGTTCTCCTCCATTCGTTGTCCAGTAGATTGTTCCCCACCGTCATAAAATTATTACCGCTATACCCCCTGAACGCAACAACAGGTTCAAAAATCGACACCTTCTCTATTCCTCCATTTAAAAACGACGTTAGTCTTCTTCCCTGTGCTCCTCCATTAGCCATCTGGTAGATTGCTCCCTGCCATCTTCTTCCTTGTGCTCAAAAAAAGGAGAAACGAACTCTGTTTGAAAACGATGACTTCTCTGTTGCTCCCGACTGTCTTCTTCCCCGTGCTCCTTCATTCCCCATCCAGTATATGATTTCTCTTACTCCCGACCGTCTTTGTTTGTCAGAGGCCCCCTGTACTAGCCGTCCGAGGCAGCCGTTTTTCACCTTCAGAATTGAGCTTTTCTGGTCATCATGCACCCCCATCCGCCAGAGTGGCTTCCGGGTGACGTTTAACAGTGAAGACATTAACGTCTTTCTTATACTGAAATGAATTTCTTTTTTAAAATACAATTTAAATGGTTGTTTTTAAAGCCAGTTACGTATGATAACCCGTATTCATCGAATGTTGATTGGTCCATCTCATCCGATACAATATAGAAAAAATGCTTTTTCCATATGATAGATTTTCCCTAGCTACTTGGCTCTGTATAAAGAGATATAGCCGTATAACCACGCCATTGCTTTGATGGTTCACATCCAACAAGAGTAACCGTTACTAGAAAATACTTAAAATTTCAAATACAATTACTCGGTAACACTTGTAATTTCAAAGAGCAATAGTATGTTAGGGGCTAATACAACCTTGTGTATGAATTGGGGAAAAATCTTGAGAACATTGAATTTTTTGCTTTTACGATCAGCGCATATAAACCATAACAAGGGATATGAACCGCAGCCAAGCTCAAATACCTAATAAGACAAATATCCCCTCCCCACCATCAGACATCATTCTGAACATAAAGCTGAAAGAGTTAAAAACTAAGGTGAAGGATGAAGATCTGGTAAATTACCATATAGGTGCCCATGGAGTCGAAAGTTCAAGGAAAGGATAAGGCCACCTGAGAGAAGAAATTTTAAGGAGTCATGATACTTCAAATATTGAACATGAATGAAGGAATCGGGCAACTCCTTATTGTTGATGATGTGGAATTGAAGGGAAAATCTATGATGCGAAAAAGATATAGTATGGGAAGAGTTTTGATCAATCAAAACCCACCCATGAATTTTGATAAATAACACCTGATTGGCTATCATATTTATGATTCTAGTTGACTGGTCAAAATTTTTTCATATCATTTGAACCCGGAATTGAAATATGAAAAATATAATCCTTTTCATGAGAATAGAAGCTTAGTTGCTTACCATGTAAAACCACATGCATGAAGAATCCATTGGAAAATCACATAGGCACAACTCCATAGCACAAAATATGCAAGGTGGAACCAATAGAACGGCTGAAAGCAAGAAGAAAACTTACAATGTGTTTTTTGAGGAAACAGAAGGAAAAAAAAAAAGAAAAGAAAAAAGCGAAAAAATGAAAGAAGGGTTAAGGAAACCTTTGATTACTTTGTCCAATATATTTTTGACTCACAAAAAACAAGGGTAAGAGTAACAAATCAGAAGAAACCATCTAGAATACATTCTTGACATACTTACAAGGCTGTTCAGAACTGTGTCAAGAAGAAGAAACACAAGATTGAGAGAATGCATACACCCCATTAACTGTAAAACAGAAAGAAAGATGAGAACTCTATTAATTGTCATATTCAGGATTAAAAAGGTGATTTGAAGAAAAGAATGCAGAAATTATCCTCCAATTAGAGAAGTTATTTATAAGATGAAAATTGTTTCCTTATCCATAAAAGAAACAAAAACAATTAGGCTTGGAGCTCAAGATGCGAGGACACACACACACACAGCACAGAAATGAATTATCCAGAAGTGTTGCCAGACTCAGACTAGACCAGATAGTTAAAATGATGATCTGGTGGGCTTTCTAGGCCCAGGTTATTTAACAGTTTTCACTTATTAGTCTGAATTTCCTCACCTAACTGGCTAGTTAACTGGTAAAACTGTGACCCAATGAGCTTTCCAAATTTCTGTTTGGTCCAAGTCTGACAACAGTGATCCTAACCATTTCAGGAAAACCCACCCATAAATAGGTGAAACATGGAACCAATAGAAATATTTCCTTTTTTCATATTAGAAGGAAATTATCTACTAGTAATCTTTTATAGAGAATTCTGGACCATATATATGGGCCATGTGGTACTAAGTGGTTGAGTTAAAGGTGGTCATGGTGAAAGATGGAGGTAATTGTATGGAGAAGTGAAATAATGTCAGGGATAGAAACTTAGGTATCTGCAGCAAACTTCCAGTAGTTAGAAGAGAAACTAGAAATTGAAAAAGCATAGGCTTAATCCATTGAGGATGTCAACATCTATTGAGATTCAGAACATTGTCATGTGCATACCCACAAAGATATTAATCAATATGAGATCTTGTGGGAACAGGTATTTGTTGAACCAAACTACTTTACCTCTCTGATTAAAAGCTTTAACCTTTTATGAGATGAAAATTGACTTTGCTAAAAAATAATCTGAAAGCTATAAAAAGTATGGACATTGTGGTTAAATAGTTAAGACTTCTACTCTCTCCCAGATGACATAAATGCCATATGATTTTCAGAATTCTATTTCATGTTTGGAGAAATAATATTTACGGATTACACAGTTGATATTGGTTAACAATGAAAACTAGGATGCTCAAGTTGAATTTTAACAGCATCAAGTTGGGCTTCAGGGTGGGCCCTTAGAACCTTGAGAAATGCTCAACCCAGGCCCATCCAAATTGCACTCCTAATATTGGTTCAGATATGCAAATAAATACCAAGAAAAGAGACACAAAAGAAACTAATTTTTGTTTTGAATAGTAATTGTGTTTCTTAAAATAGTTGAAAGGAGTATAGTCTAACCAGGTTAAGGCGAAAATGTTCATTTGACAAGAATGGTACTAGGATTAGCCAAAACACAATGTCGGTGAGAACAACAGCACCTGCACAAGTCTGTTCAAAAGAAATATCATTTCCAAATGGCAAACTGGGATGACAAACCAGAAGACAACTGAACTAAAATAGTTCTGAATAAGAAAAAGGGAAAAAACAGAAATAAGAAATATCACAGAATACAAACACACAACAGCAAGCTTGAATAAACTACCTGATATACAATATGCATCAGATATACCCAAAATCCAGCTCTCTGCTCAGTCTCCTCTTGCTCATGATTGCTCTGCAACTTGATTGTTTCTCTAATTGTGTTGGTTCTGAAAGCCCTAGTGGTTCTAGATTTACCATCTGCCAAATCCCTCTTCAAAAACTCATCCCTTTCCTCATTTTCAGTTAAAGAATAATTTAAATACATCCAGCATCCATGAGCAGATACAATAGTGCCAAGCTACATATAAAAAAAATGCATGTTATGATGAGAATCTTAAGATTGAGTAATAGTTCCACTTGTTTCCCGTAGAGAATATTGTTATATCTGTGTATATATGTGCAAGCACCACGCAATTCCATTTCTTATGGAGTGTAAGAAGTTATTTTAATCTCTATAGCAAGAATAGGGAGGACATACCGCAAAATATACAATGACCAGTGTAAACGTCCACCTGTAGATATGTTGGATCACAATAGTTACCGAAATGGAAAGTTCACAGGAATGGCTAAAGACAACAATTATTCATGTTGAATAATATTGTTCATATGGGGACTAATTTCTCTAAAAAAATTAGGCACATCCTGTTATTGATAAACCGGATACATCCCTAGTAAAAAGACTACAAACACCCTCTGTTACATAGGGCTACTTTTGCATTTTGGAAAACAGTCCTTGACTAATAATTAGGGTATGCCCTTTTCTCAAAAATGGGGTGCTTCGGTGGTGGTTTTAAAATCCATAAGTTTTGGTAACAAGTAGAGAAAAGGGGTGAATTGTGAAAGAAGTAGAGGAGAATAGAAAGAACGTACACGATATAGATAATAAATAGAAAACAGAGAAGTTGTTCTTTATTCCACTGAAATGTCTAAACTTCAACAGTATTTGGATAGAATTGAAATTTGAATTCAGAAGAGATTGAAACCTATTTGGTACTGAACAGAACAGAAAGGCAGAACAGGATTCATGCAGCTGACCCCATAAAGTTTGGCCTAGGCTCAGGGACCGTTTGATAACAGATGAAATTGCTGAAATTGAAGTTAGGTTAATTACCATATTCTCAAATAGTTTATTACTTCATTATTTTATCCATTCAGTTGAGTCACTTTAGCCATTATCAAACATCCATTTAGATGATGAACCGGTTGAAACCCACTTCAAATCCACAATATAAAACGCCAGAGTAAAGGTAAAAGAAGCAAAATGCACACTAAGAGAAGCTTGATAGAAGGCTCAAACTTCTGTTCGTACTCACATAACATGACTTATGTCTATTTTCAATTTCCCAAGATTGGCACATTAGTTAGAGATGAGTCAAAAGCTAAGTGTTGAGAAGGAAAAATATCAACATATGTGAGATCGGGAAGCTATTTTTTATAAGAATATGTAAATCATGGGTTTTCAGGAGAATGTTAAAAAAGTCAACATAAGCTAAAACAATCAAACCCTAACTTGGGTAAGATACAAACAGAAAATCTCAGAGATTACACATTTTTTCCCAGAAAAAAAATCAAAGCCAGAGAATACTTCCAAAATCCAACAATAAGAGACTTTGGCAAGAATTAAGATGCAAAAAAAAACAACAAAAAGATAGAATCAGGATATTTTTCCAAACAGGAAACTAAGCAAAAGTCTTGTCTAGAACTCATCTTACTGTGTGTAAAAATAGAAGGAAAAAGCACCGTGTAAGGCAACCATCTGATACAGTATAAAGGACATGAAAACAAACACAATAGCTCTATAGCTGAGAAGCCATAGCGGGTTGAGCTTTCTCCAGCAAGGAACCCACAGATCCTTTGGGCTCAAAGGAGATCTCTGTACTTTGTAAATCAGATAAAGAGCCACCACCACCGGAACGACGATGATCAGCGCGCACGCCGGCACTTGCCATCGAAGCCAGTAATCCAGTCTATTGTCTGCGTTCGCCATGTTCGATAAGGGATTGAAATCTCTAGATGAAGAAACTCATGGTGGGAGGAGTAAAGACCAGGAGACCACGGAAAAGGGAGGAAAACAGGAAAACTATCTTGCATTGACTGTAGGCTGAACTTGGTAGGAAACGTTAAGACGATAGGGACAGTTATAGGTATCGTACCTTAAATTTCATAACCAATCACAGTATCATACTTTTCAGGTATCATAGAATTGTCCACCCAAAGTGATAAAAATGGTACAACCCTTTCAGCCATGTGAATATGCTAGAGTAGACCTGGCAATTGGGTTGGGCGGGTCGGGTTCGGTTGGGTCAATCAATACACTTCGGGTTGATTCCAGATCGGGTTGAATTTTGGCTTTTTGGGTTGGGTTGTCAAGTGCTAGACCCTAATTCTAAATGTTCGGGTTAGGATTGGCCCATGGGTCAATTTGGGTCATCTCAAAAAATAATTAAAATCTTAAAAAATAAAGAAAAAATATATGAAAATGCCAAAATTAAAGGAATTAACTTTAAAATTCTAAAAATAAAATAAAAAAACTTGAACATTTAACAATTCATAGAGTAAACAATAAAGATTAAAAACTGAATAGTAAAAATTAAAGAGTAAAAACTTCTAATAATGCATAAATAATCCCAATTAGACCTGGCAATCGGATCAACAGGTTGTTGACCCATGACCCAAGCCAACTCAATTTTCTGGGTCGGGTTGGGTCAGGCCATTCTCAAATCTAGGTAGCTAAATATGATACCCTAATCCTATTTTTTTCAAGTTGGGTTGGGTCGGATTCGTGCGTTGGGTCAACTTTTTGACAGGTCTATGTTAGACTGTTCATTATAATTAGGGGTGAAAACAGATTGGGTTGGTTCGATTGTAAGCTATTTGGCCAATCGAAGTGATTTGGTCAGGTTGAGAAATTGGCCACCGAAAGCCAAACCAAATATGAAGAATCAATTTGGATCAGTTTCTCGGATTAGTTAAGTCGGATCAAAAAAATTTTTTTAAGCAAAACTGAAATATATGTATATATTATGGAAAACCGAAATATATTTATACTTATTGTTTTTTATGCAAAACAAAAACTTATCAGATGGTTGCCTTATGCAAATGAAACAGCTCTCATGGTTTTCAAAACCAGACTGGACAGGATGGACAGACCGGAAAAACCGGTAACCGTTCAGCCCCCATGTCTGGTTATACTATAAACCGTTAAATCCTAAAAATCCATTGAAAAAATCAAAAAAACGTTGACCTGGGTAGTCAAACCGCTAAACAGTTCGACCCGAGCAGCGGTTCGCCGGTTACGAATTTCATTTTCATTGATTTAAAAAAAAATAATAAAAACAAAAAAAGACCCCCATATCCCTGATTCCTAGCTCTTACGAATTAGGCCTTTCGTTCTAACCCTTCCCTCCTCTCAGCCCTAATACCCTGATCGACGACCTACAACAGCCATGACTTACGGCGACCAGTGACGGCGGTGAGCTTCATCTATGGCGGTTTGCATTTTGTAACCAGAAACAAGCTCTATTTATCAAGGACTTGAAGCTGTGGCCAGCGATTTTGTAGCGGCGGTGGGGGGTTTCTAACATACTGCGGTAGTATCAATTGGCACTTGGCACTTTGAACTTGGAAGTGGTAGTTCGCTCCTCAGTCAGAGTTGCAGCGGCAATCACCAGAGACCAAACTAGAATCCACCGGTGGTGATTTTTGTAAGCTTAACACCGTCACACACCATTAGTGGTAGTGAAACCATTAATGTATAAAATGCTTACAAGAGTTTAACACCTATAGTTTAATTGATTCTTTTAATTTTGCTTAATTATTTATTTTTGCTGAATTCTTTGCTTAATTAGTTACAGAGAGTCACATACTCACATTTGCTTAATTTTTTTTTTCAATTCCTTGCTTATTTAGTATGTCAAAGAATGATGATGGTGATGTGAAAGAATGATAAAATCCCTTTTTATTTTCAATTAATTAATGCAATAGATTATTTAACAATATTTATTAATTAATTATAATATTTATTTAATTAATAAAAAATGCTATTACAAAAATACCTCTAATAAATAATTAAATAAATACCATAATCATTAAAAATATTGTTAATTAATGAATTACTAATTAATTATATCAAAATACCATTAATTAATTAATAGTATTTTCATAAATATTGTTTAGTAATTAAATAAATTAAATAATTAAATAAATACCATAGTTAATAACAAAAATATCGTTAAAAATACCGTAATTAACTATGGCATTTATTTATTTATTTATTTTATGTATTTTGGTTAGAGGTGCTCACTGTTTGATTAACCAAATCGGGGTTACCGGTTTTTGGAAAACCAGTAGTTGAAACCGAACCGAAGCTAATTGGTTAATTAGTTGACCAGTTCAGTTAACCATTACTTCAGTTCATCAGTTTTTTTTTGTTTTTTATTATTTACAATATATTATAGAAAAATATATATAATACTATATTTTAAATAATAAATAATATATTATATATTATAAATATATATTTATGTATATAATGCATATTTATTAATTTATAGTTGATGGTGCGTGATCCAGTCACTCCTAGCTGGCACTTACATGGCTCCTGGATGGTACCTGAAATGGAGAAGAAGAAGAATCCCCGGGGGCTTGCCCAACGGGAACACTCCGATGCTTAAGTTAGTATTCTGTAGGAGAAGCAAGGAGAAGAAGAAAGCTAAGAGTGCAGATAGCACGAGGGTAGAAGATGATACCTCCATTCTGAAAGAATGGTAGGATCCATCTAATGGATGCCAAGAAAGTTGCGGAATGGGTGGACGAATTTCAAAAATTTTTCTACCTTCTTCCAACTGGGAATCATATTCCCTAAATTTAGAATACTATATTCAAGGATCCTACTTGAACCATAATCGAA